CCCCAAAACCCCAAAACCCCAAAACCCCAAAACCCCAAAACCCCAACAAATAATTATAATCCTGAACAATTACTCAAAAATTAATCCAAAATGTCCGATCACAACTCAGACCACTATTCAGATGTAAGCCACCGGTCATCTCTCTTTCATCTCTATAATTTCCTTTTTCTTCGTAAAAACTGACTGGTTTTATAGGAAAGGTATGAAGAATATGGTGATGGAGGGTAAGAGATTTTGGATAATGGGTAGTGCAGGAGAGGGGCATGGAGATGAGAGTGAGAGGAGTGGGGAGATTGAGTTTGGACGGAGAGAGGAGCATGAAGGAAGTCGAGAAGGGCATGGGAAGGTAAGAGAGGGGATTTTGGGGGATTTGGAGGATTTGGGAGGTGATGATTTTTATGTGTAGAGTTATGAAGATGAAGAGGATATTGGGATGCTGCCGTCGTCTCTTGAAGCTGCGAATGATAAGATGATTAGTGACATAGAACATCTAATCGAGACTATTGAAAACAAAGTGGAAGGTTATAAAGATTTAAAGGAAAAAGGTATTTTTTAATTATTCATTCATTTAGAGAAAATTCAAAGAAGACAAGAGGACCCTATCTATGACAGAGACGATGAACTCCAGACTGCTCAATTCAAAGCTACGAAGATAAAGAATGAAATAAAGACTATGAAGAAAGCGTTATTCACTGCATATGACATTGATGGAATTATTAGAGATGAAAATGAGCTCAAACGTTTACAAAAAGAAGCAGATGGACTTGAGACGGAAGCCTTATCTCTTAGAAAAGTTAAAAACGCTAATAAGTTAGCAATGAGAGAACTAGATGCTGATTCAAACATGAATCATAGATTCAAGAAATCGAAAAATTCTTTGAATGAAATCAAAAATACCTTAAAAGAACGTCAAGAGGTTCTCAGAATTGAAGAAAGGAATGCTCAAGCTGAGCATAATCAAATCGTAAGTCTCCAAGAAAGATGAAGACAGCTTTCAAATCTATTAGCTGAGCATAAGAAAGGTAATGATGTAACTCAGCGGGCTCCTGATATTGATGAGAACGAGATACAACAAATCGAAAAAGATATTGAAACTCTCACTCAAGAAAAAATTGATAATGACCAAAAATATAAGAAAGTTATGAAGAAAATAAAAGCGGATATAAAAGAAGCTGAAGAACAAAATAATATGATAGCAACTAAAGTCAAAGAAAAAGATCAAGAAGCAAGACTTAATGAGCTAAAGTTCAGACAACTCAGAAGGAGGATTCCTCATAAAACTCTTAAACCCTTATTTACGGTTAGGAATAGTAAATTGAAGAATTCGGTATCATCAACGCATTATGTTAGCCAGCCACTAACCAGTAGAGGACCTTTTAATAAGAATGGTACTGCTAAAGTAGGCACCCATACTCAGTTCAAGATCAAGAAAAGGAAGCTTCCTTCTGTTACCAAGAGTAAAAGATCCAATTTACAAAGCCCGGACGTCGTAATTGAGGAACAAGAAGACGAGAGACAAAACAATATCAAAACAGATGCTGAAGAATCAATAAAATCTCCTAAACCCCAAAACCCCAAAACCCCAAAACCCCAAAACCCCTCTCTACCATACTAAAATTGAATGAAAATAAATCAAAAGACCTAGGTTTGCAATGTTGAAAATTATCAATGGAACACAACTTTTAAACATTTTGTGAGCAATAATTGAAGGTTACAAGAAGAGTTGTTCAATTTCATCTTTCAGTTCATTCACACGGCTTTGTAATTCAGACTCTTGTCCATCGGTAACAATAGCTCAAGCAATAATATTCCTAGATACTCCGCAAGCAGTTCCTAGAGCATGCTGGGATGAGACAAAAATATATGGAACATTTTTATCTTCACATAGCAATGGCAAGTGCAGAACGATTTCAAGTGGCTCAGTATCAGCTGCCATGACGATAATCTGTGCGCTTCCTCTATTGAGTGCTTTTGTTGCTTCGTTAGCTCCTTTCTTGAGGAATCCCTTCTTTGAACTATCCCTGATGAGGTCTTGAACTTTGATGACCATGTCTTCTTCAGCTAATGGGAATGCTCTGCTTGTAGCTTCGGCGTGATCTCCTTCTCCTTCCATAATGTTTTATTTATTATAAGAAAAGCAATACACGCTTTAATTCAGGGGTTTTGGGGTTTTGGGGTTTTGGGGTTTTGGGG